CTTGTTCTATTTCCTTTTAGGTGTCCTTCGTTTGGTGTTTTATTTTTCTTTTAACTTTATTTGCTGTTTTGCAACAACAATTGCATTTTATTATTTTATTTTGTAGGCCTTTCTTTGTTCCTGGTTTATACATTTTTATTTGTCAAAGTTTTTTTTTATTGTGCTACAAAGCTTCTGGAGTCTTTGTTCTTCCCTCTTGCTGGTTTTCTAGGATAGGAAAGTGTTGTTTTTTCAGTTGGTACTGGTCCTTATGTTAGTTTGTTTTGTTTCAAGTTCTTTGGTCCTCTAGCTAGGTTGTGTTAGGTTTTAGATTGCATCAGGTTTTTTAGTTTTCTTTTTTTGTCTTCGTACTTTTGTTGTTGTCTGTCTTCTTTCTGGTTCTTTTGGCCAAGTTTTTCCATTGATTTTCCATTTGGCTAAGTTCTTTTAATTGGTTAGTTGTTTTGCTTTAGAACTTTTTTTGATTTTGGGTTGCCGAGGTAGTTTTCACTGATAGCTTCTGTTGCAATCTTCATTTTTTTTTTTTTTTTGGGGTTTTCTTACATGTGCTTAAGTTTGTTCCAATTTGTATTTGGTTTCTTCTTGCCACTTTTATAAGTTTTGCTTTTTTTTATTTTTTTATACAAGCGATATTCTACTTTAATGTAATCTAAACTATGGGGAGGGGGTTTCAAACTCGGGTGGAGAGTGGGGAGCACAACTGTTCTAGCCACTGGCTAAGCCCATGTCTTGCAGTTTTGCTTTCTTTGTTGTAGTTTTTTAACTTTCTCTTGTTTAGATGTTGGGCAGGTTATCAACAAGTTTCCTTTTCTGTTGTTCTTCATTGACACCGAATCTAGCCCATCTGATTAATGCGTTTTGGTGCATTTATCTTATTTAATTTAAAGTCTAGTTCGATGCTTTTGATTTGATTCATGGTGCATTTATCCGGTGTCTTTCATTGTTGTCTATTTTGAGAGTATCTTTGAGAGGCCTGACGTGAATTTGTTTTTCTTCTCACTTTTTGTTGTTTGTGTTTTATTTTTCTCTTTTGTTTTTTTATTTTTCATGATAATTTTCTGTTGTAGGGTGATGATTTCTGCTACTGGCATGGCCATTTTGGTGTGTAGATTGAAGAGGTGTCCAAGCTTCTCTTCTTTCATTTTTGTTTTTTCGTTTCCCCGTGATTGTAAGCCACAAATCTTTTTTTAAGATTGAGAGTGCCGAACCACTCACACCAACCACCTTGGTTCATTGTTGTCTATTTTGAGAGTATCTTTGAGAGGCCTAACGTCAATTTGTTTTTCTTCTCACTTTTTGTTGTTTATGTTTTATTTTTCTCTTTTGTTTTTTATTTTTCATGATAATTTTCTGTTGTAGGGTGATGATTTCTGCTACTGGCATGGCCATTTTGGTGTGTAGATTGAAGAAGTGTCCAAGTTTTCTCTTCTTTCATTTTTGTTTTTTCGTTTCCCCGTGATTGTAAGCCGCGAATCTTTTTTTAAGATCACGCTTTTTGATTCTCAGTGTGGGTTTAGGATGGTTCATTGTTATCCTTCGTATTTTCTCAAAGGTGCTTCTATTGTTTTGAATATAACATCTCTTTTCAAACCAACAATGTAAGTTGAACAAGACTCAGAAATTTCTGAACGTATGCCAATTTTCTTGTTTGACTTAATAAACAAAGAAATTTATCATTTGTACGTGGAAAATAACTATTTGAGTTGTAAATCCAAAATTAAATTCCACATAAATGGATGTTATTTCTAAAATCTCAAAACTGAGCTTTAGAATAAATAAAAAATAAAAAAAAAACTACAACCATATCATTAACGCCACCCTATCCTCACCATCGTCTCTAGTATGATCACTTTTGCGATTGTCTAAACTAGAGGGGACGGGAATTTCTCACATATACACAAAAATAATGCTATAAGGGTTCGCACGTGAACCTCTAGTCTGCAAGTCAAGTCCTTTTCCACTCAGCTAGACTCCGTTGATACCATCACTACTAATTATCTAGAAGTTGATGCATTCACCAAGATCAGTTGTAAACTCCATACTTCATCTTGTTTATAGGTTAATACCTCAATCAAAATTAACTGTACATAGTATGCAAATCTAATGAACAGATTTTAAAATCCCAATAATTTTGATATATTTTTGTTGTTGTAAACTTTCTTAAAACCCTTAACGAATTTGATAAAACTAATCTTTTTTGGAAATGACCAAAAGTAATTAATTTGGAAAAACGAGTTACAAAGTGAAAAAGCAATCTTCGAACGTCCAACAAACGCCACATGTGCATTTGAGAATGTGATTCAATTTGATAAAACGCCATTAAAAGTCCAAAATTTACGACTTTACCTCACACTTCTTCTCTCTCCGTAAGCAGCTCTCTGTAACCATTAAGATCACACAGAAGAGAACAAACCCAAAACCAAAATCAAACAACGCCATGGAAACGCAAGACAACGAGATCGAAAACCTCAACAGCACCTCTTCATGGAGTTCCGCCGCAAACTGGAACATCGCCGGTGGCTCTCTCGTAAATTGCGTCTCTTTCGAGTCGTCTTTTTCTCCGATCGACGACGAGACTCTAAAGTCCACCTCTGAATCCTCTCTTATTCTGCACCCTCCATCACCCGATTCTGTCCCTTGCGAGATCACCAGTACGTTCTGGAACTTATTTTTCTCTGAAAATTTTACATTTTCGTCAGATATTTTATGCGTTAATTCTTTGTTGAAATGTTGTGATTAAAACGATTATGTGCATTGTTTACATTTTCAGTTTATGGTTAAAAATGTGAGGTTTAACTCTCTGTTTGGGGTGCGAGAAAATGAAGGAAAACAATATTATATCAATTGCGGTCCTTTACATCCTTATTGTAGGTTAAGAATTTGAAATAGTAACATTAACATCTTGATTAACAGTTTGGTAACATAGTCTGTAGGCACCTATTTTCAACTTTTGGAGCAAGTGTATTAGAGAAACCGTATATGTATTCATCTGGTTTTCATTTTTAGGATTAAGATTTTATGTTAATGACATTTGATGCTAAAGTAGATTTCAATTAGGATGCGGATTGCCTAGTTATTAAAATAGCGAATATGTAGATGGAGCTGAAAGTAGGAGCTGCATCTGGTATGTTGAAAACAGAGGATAAACCGGAACTCTGTGGAATAGTGCCTAAGATGAGTTCAACAAGAACATTTTAGTAGCTTAAAGTAGAAAGAACATTTGTTGGAGCACATGATGTTATTAGGGTTGTGCAAAATGCATGAAGAATGTCTGACTCAACTGTTTCGACAGAGTAATTAGTTAAAAAACCTTCGATGATGTACTCAGACGTTTTTTTTCTCCACACAACTATTGATTTTATAAAGGATGGATTTCTCGGTTCATATTTTTTTTTTTGAATAGAAACATTGTATTGATAATCAAATAGTCGTCTTCTAACATTACTGACCTTTTTTTTTTTGAATAGAAACATTGTATTGATAATCAAGAGGAAAAAAACCTCGATCAAGCAACAAAACCTATAATGAAGAGTATCTGACCAACTAAGACAGAAAGATTCTGTAATTAAAAACACAAAAACATAAGTGACATCATCTTAAGACGGCCGTCATGTCTCTCAAATGATAGAGTAGTGATAATCCTTAAATTGTCCCGAAACCGAAGCCCAAAGAGATGCCCAAAATTTAATTCTATCCCATAATTCCTCAACCCTTACTCCTGTATGACCCTGAAAAATTCTTCGATTACGCTCCATCCATATATTCCAGAAAATAGCATGAACTAGACAATCTCGAAGGGTTCCAGCTCTCTTCCCCTTCCCCGACGCCCTCAAATTGATACTAAGGAGCTCAAAACACCCTTTAGGAATGACCCACTCCGCTCCGAGAGCACCCAACATCCTCCACCATAATTTGAGGGAGTAAGAACAGTGAATGAAAGTGTTAAGCCAAGGTAAATATGGCATGGTCAATTCACCTAGCTATGAAAAAGAAGAAGGATAATAGAAATATTGTACATGCAACAATGCACTTGAACCTTCTGGTTTAAGTTTTGGAATGGCTTAGATATATCTAAACCTATAAGGTAGAGTTGTGAATGCAGCTTTTTGTTTTGTTAAGATTGTTGTCCTCTGATGTAAACAGTTCATCACTTAGTACATGCTACAAGCATTTTAATCATAAAACAGTCTGGGTTGCTGTTAAAAATATATATTTTGCTCCCTTTTCCCCCTTTTGGTCAGTTTTTGGGGCTATTTTCTTGGTTTTCTTATAATAGTGTTTATTCTTCTTTTGCACAAAAACTTCTCAACACCTTTATTTCTTTCTGTACATTATGCATCAATGTCCTTTTGGGAAAAAGAAAAAGAAAAAAGAAGAATCAAAATGGTCAAAGTTCAAGTGACTCGACTTACTATGTAGTCTCCTTGCAAATGACCAACAAATTTTGCTGCAGTTAATTTCACGCAGAAACATGAGATCCAGCAGGTTTATGTTCGGAGTACTGCCCGAGTCTATGAGATATACTACGCACCTGATTTGCAGAGTGGCAATGAGTATCTCTGTACGGTTCGCTGTGGAATTGCTGACAGAGATGAAGAAGTGCTTCATACAGGTGATAATGAAGAAGTACGTTCTACAAATTCAAATGGGTCTCTTAAGGACCCATCTGAAGAAAACTCAAGAAATGGAAATGGTCTGAACACCAGTGAAGATGACTGGATTGAAGTGAAAGTCCCAGATACTCATGTGCTTGATAATAAAATCAAATCCTTGCCATTAAAGTTGGGTTCTGCACAGGTATGTTGCTTAGCTGTCCATTTTTATTAATCCCAGTGAAACCCCTCCTGTTTCTTTTTTCCCCCGTCTAGTCAATTTCGTCAAATGGTACCCCTCATGCTTGTGGCCACTTGTATTGATGTGTTTGTCCATCCTCCCTTTTCAAAGAAAAACTAAGAAACAGGTTTGGAAATTCTGAAGAAGCCTGTGTGCCGTTGCAGTTGAGAGGATAAAACTAATTTGTATTTATGAGTGCAAACTATCTAAGTTTCAAATCAGCTTATTGGTGTGTTCTTTGGCCAATTTCTATTACACTTTGCCAAATTTAGGGTATATTATTACTGGTTCAAGGCCTTTTTAGGCAATTCTTGCCACTGGTAGTGCCCCTTTAGTGCTTGTGTTTGGAGGGAGAGGGGGGGAGGGGGAAGGAGAGAGAGGTTTTGTGATAATGGGCTGGGTATGAGTGACCAAACATCAGAGTCCTAATCTATATTGATTATTATCTTTGCTGATCAAGGTAATTTTTTCAGGCTTTTTATGAAGCTACAGCACAGATTAGTGATGCAAGCCCTTGTGTATCGCTCACACTTCGTCTACTGTCGCTTGAGAGGAAAGATTGTGTTTGTGTTGATGAGGTCTACGTGTTTGCTGACCCTGTTGATTCAGCTGATTCAGAAAATCAAGTGAGTGCCGTGGAAAGCTCAGCTGGGAGTTCCCTCATGGCCATGCTTGTGCCTACTCTTTTACAATTTTCTAAAACAAGCGGTGCTCACCGAACACAAGACAGGGGCAATTCTGATACATGGGAAAAACAGAACTCCCTAGAGATTGGGTCACAAACAGTTGGTTCTACCAGTGCTGCAACTAAGATTCAGGAGGAAGGAAAAGCCAGCATACCTGATCACCAAGAAGTAAAGGTTCAGGATGTGAATAGGGCTACTGTGGGTACAGCCCAATTACAGACCCCGCCACTAGTTCCTTTTAGAGAAAGCAAACCTGATTCCCCTCCATATAGTCATGTAGAAAGAGCTGTGAACCAGCTTTGTTCTCGAATGGGTAGAATAGAGGATCTGTTTTTGAGGTTTGAAGAAAATATGCTAAAACCAATAAGCAGTATTGAGGCAAGGCTTGAAAGGGTAGAGCAGCAACTTGAAGTACTCACAAGAAAATCACAGAATTCCGGGTTGCCAACATGCTCAAGATTCTGTGCACCTTCTTTCTCATGCATTGAGTCTGAATCCAACTCTTTCTACAATAGTGGAAATGATTATCGCCGTTGGGAGGCTTTTGAATCAGGTAAGAATGACGTTCAATTGGATGCACTCCCGACCACACCTTATGACATGTCTGGTTCAAATTCCCCTCATTTGTTCCCAAGTCTAGTAGTAACTGCTCCTGAATTTTCAAATGGTGATGATGAGGAGGAGGAAGAAGAAGAAGATCATGAATCAGATGTAGTGGTAACTCCTTCAGAAAATAAACCAAGGCCTGCTTTGACAATTGATGATGCTTTAGCATCTGCACTAGCTGGATTCATGTCTTTGACTTCAACCCAGCCTCAGAAATATACCCAAACCCTTTCGGTTAAAGCTCCTGATTTTTTAAATGAGGAAGATGGTAGTGTTGACAGAAAATCTCCAGCAAGTGTTGAAAATGATGTAGGCGCAGATCCTTCCATGTGCTCTGGTGCAATTAATGAGACAAAGAGCGTAAAAGATTCAGTTGCTGATTCAGTGAAAAGTTCTTCAGAGCGTGAGGGGAATGTGATAAGATCTCCTAATGATGAGCACACTGATAAAACACTCGGAGTTGATGGACTGCACCAGCGTTATGAGGGTGGAGAAGAAGGAAAACTTGTTGATGGCAAGAGCATTGGGAATGCAGTTGATCTAGCCAATCGTGGCATGATGTCTAGAACTGATTTTTGTCAGATAACAGAAGAGATTGAAAATGGAGAAGTCAGCACGGAGATAAGCAACATCCTGGATCTTGATAAAACTGATATACCAAACTCGTTGCCTCAAGATCAGACTGATGATGGACACGATAACACCCAGGAAGATACTTATACAGAGTCTGATTTAACTACTCCAAAGGAAGCGGCAGAAGAGAATCCTGACAAAGATATTCTGAAGAATATCCTTGAACTTTCACGCGCTGCTTCTGTGGTGGATTTTGGGACTCCAGTTCTGGATGTGAAATTTACTTCTCAGGATAGTTACGATAGCCCCTATTTTTCTCTTGAAGCTCTTTTAGCTGAGTTGCCAGAATCAAAGACCGAAGCTCCTTCCGTCAAGGAAACTGATGATGCGGCCCCGGTTGGTGAGGGTTGTAAGTTGATTTTGGTGGAGGATGAGGAGCCAGTTGGTCCTGCCCCCGATGGTAAATTCTCTGTGGATATGGATTTCTATAGTGTAGGAGAACCTTTGAGCATGTGGGATGACGATACATGCAATAGCCATGAGACATTTGCAGCAAGTCTCATTTGATGACTCTGTCTCTTCACAACTTTGTTAATCTTCTGTACATAAATCTGGGCTAGACACTAAGACAAGAGTTGGTTGTGTAATACTGATTGTGGTCTGTTTCTTCTCTTCGTCATTACTCGTATAAACCAATTCGTATTGAGGTATTTTGAATCCTCAATTGTGAATCGTAGATGTGCGAACCCTGAAATTAATATATAAAATAGGAATTATAGAGTTTATACGACAAGCTGAGAGTCAACAGTAAACAACGTTGAATTGAAGAAAGTGGTGAATGAGTTGATTTGGAAATGAGCCATAAGAACCAACTTGCTATCTGTGTGAATCAGTTGAGGCAATTGTTGTTGCTACTTTAAGGTCATCTACTCTTACAAGTGCTTAACGTGATAACTTTTCTAGAATGCCAATGACAACTTCTAAGTTACTGTTGACTATTCTAATATAATTAGCAATAAATTAATTAAATGGAAAATTAGTGTTGACTCTAGTTAGTAAATTTGCGTATAGAACGACTAGTATACAAGTATGTTCATATATATATTTTTTTAAATACTTCCTTTTTATAACACTTTTTTATGATACGGAGAAATACACATTTTTAAAACCGAACATATTATACATGCATGCATGTTTTTTCACGTATTTTCAAATAAATAGGGTCATATTTGAGGTATAGCCCATCGGCTATACTCGTTGAACATATCTTAATACATTCAAGGAGTATCGCCGCGCGGCTATACTATTAAATATTCGAATATTATTAAAGATTATAGCCGCGCGGCTATACGATTAAATGTTCGAATATTTTTAAAGAGTATAGCCGCGCGGCTGTACTATTTAAATATTCGGCTATACGAATAGATTCAAAAAGTATAGCCGTAGCCGCACGACTATACTAATGAGATATTCTGATATATTCAAATATTCGGCTATACGAATAGATTCAAAAAGTATAGCCGTAGCCGCACGACTATACTAATGAGATATTCTGATATATTCAAAGAGTATAGCCGCCCGGCTAATAAAGGGTTACTCACATCGCATGATGAAATATGTAGCACAAGCATTCCGGAAGGAATCTGACATTGGCTGCTTCACCCCAGATCAGAAAGTACACTGAAATATATAGTAACTTTTTTTACTTGCTAACTACCTCCAAACTGCACAAAATTGAGTTATTCAGTAAGTCTCCATCATCAAACTCCATTCAGTAAGTCTCCTTTTTTCTTGTAATGCACTTGGCCTGCGAGTGATATTATGATAATCACTAATTTTTTATAAGCTGATTCGAGTAAAGGTTCATTAAAGCTTATATCTGTTGATACCTATTTACTGAATCGCATAACTGCAGGAAGGGAAAGTATCACCATACGAGAAGTCTGAACCTATTCCTGAGCCTAACAATGAGCCTGTAAAAATGGTAGTCGTTGAGAGCATCCAGGACGTTGTTCTCAAGTCTGGGAAAAACTTGAATGTTGTGTACTAGTGTGCCCTTTTTTGTTTTTTGTTTTTTTTTTTTTGGGTCTTGTTTCTTGTTAGTATTTCTCTGGGTTTTCTGTTTATTATATGATTTTCTTGATTGACTACATTACTAACTCTGAGAGACAATTACCTTGAGGAGAACAACACTTGCTCTAAATACCTTACCTTGATTCTATGACACTAAATTTTGGGGATTCACATAAAAAATGATGGAGTTTTCGGATTTTAACAACATTTAATTATGCTCAGTGGCTGTATGGGAATGCTAGAAATATGTATAAAATGACCTTGTTTACTCTGCAGTGTTGCTCGAGTTTTATGCTCCTTGGTGTGGACATTGCAAGAAGCTTGCTCCAATTTTGGATGAACTTGCTTTCTCATACGAAAAAGATTCTGATGTTATTATTGCAAAATTTGTAAGATTCTTTACCCTGCAAAGCGGCATTTCTTATAATCATCATTATGAACATAGAGAACAAAAGATGTGTAAATGTAAACCTGGATGGATCAATGTTAAAATGCAATATGCAAGATTGATATGTGATTCAATCCTTGTACTACACAGCAAAATAAAAATCAGAACACAACAAACTGAGAAAATAAACGACGACAAAGTATTTGTACGAAATCTCGCACGAGGAAAAAACCCTCCACACAGGAGAGAAAAACCTCAAGGCACACAGCCAATTTCACTAAAAACTTGAGGACATATACAAGACTCAATTGATACTGTCTTACACCACAAAAGAAGATTGATCAAATACTCTTGTCTTGTACGAACACGTCCACTTCACTTTCTCTTGGATGAACACCAATTCACGCAGGTTGATCTTCCTCACAAGCAAAGCTTCCACAAAGTTCCACGATGAATGAATGATATGTTATGCTCTCAGACTATCACCTAGATAAATCTAAAAACCTAACAGCCTTTTATCTCTCTCCCTTAATCTTATAAAACAATCTCACGATTTTTATTTGAGTGCAACGAAGGGGAGTACAAAAAAACGTCCAGCCCAACCCTTTATATACTAGGTTAACTCTTTTACCTAATAAATAAAGAGATTGGCCTTATTTAAAACTCTTCCTTATTTAAGACTCTATGCAGATTTGTATAGACTTTATACCAAAGTAATCTTTAATTAGGAATACAAATCCTATATGAATGCAAATGATTCTTACCAGAAAAGAGCTTTGCCGTGTAACACTAGTCAATCATGCTCCTCATGTGCCGCAAGCTCCAACGTCGTAAGTTACAATTAATTCTAAAACTAGGAATAACCAACTTACAGACTCTTTACATTTGCTAGGAAATAGCCAATAAAAAAAACTCTTTCAGACTTGCACTTGAAATACAATGCATTGTCGGATATTATCTTCAATGGAACCCCATAACGGTAGATGATGTGGTTCCTTATAAAGTTTGTAACATCGTCTACTCGTACCTCCTTTAAAGGAATTGCTTCAGCCCACTTAGAGAAGTAATTGATCGCGGCCAAGATGTATTGATGTTAACGTGATGACTTCGGCTTTATGATACCCACAACATCTAGTCCCCAAGGTTCAAATGGCCAAGACAAAGTTGTCGGATGCAATTTTTGGGGTGGCTGGTGCATGAAGTCTCTATGCAGTTGGCAATCTTTACATGTGATTGCAAATTTCATTGAATCTCGGACCATTGTTGGCCAGTAATAACCCAATCTCTTCAGTTGATTTGAGAGTTTTAGACTAGCTTGATGAGCACCACAAGTGCCAGCATGCAAGTGCCAGCATGAGTATCATGAAGGGCTTTAGTTGCGTCTTGTTTCGACAGACACCTTAAACTTCTTTACCAACCCGCACTGGTGGATCATACGCGTCTATTAATCGAGTCAAAATCACTGAATGGGGTGTCTACAACAACGGACGGCTCATTGTTCATGGGGTTGAGGACTTCTTCGATCCAGCTTTCCAAACCCTATTGTATCCACAGTACGACACCGTTGTGACAAAGGTTCAGTCGCGTGGATTTTCTTGGCAGAGAGAGGTGATAGAGAATTGGATTCTTTTGGTAGCTCTTGTGGCTGCTTGCACTTGTGTGCTCATTCTCGTGAATATCTTTTGTGATAGCCCTTGGGACAAGGAGGATGTTCAATATTATCCTTTGTATTATTGACAAGGTTATTGGTCATGTAGGCATAATTGATTATTTTCTTTGTTTTAGTTTTTCTTCTTTATTCGTGGAAGATTCTTGTAAGGCATACATCAATTGGATCTAAAATAGAGAGACTGTTAATCCTTGGCTTAAAATTGGATCAATGGATAATACTTTTCAACTAAAAGACACCACCAAACCAATAGCACCAAATACATATATGAATATAATTAAGGATGTGATTATGGTAATATGTAATAATTAATCACCCCAGTAAAGTAATTGTATACTAATCTTGTACTACCAGAGCTAACCCCTCCATCTTGGACCTCATTTACTACGACATTGTTGTCGTTGTCGTTACAAGAATGATGTTCAAGGGATTTGAGCAGGTAAGGTTGAAGCTTCTTCAAATCCGATAGCTGAAGTGGCTTCAAAAGAAACTCCTCAGCCCCTCCTTCCAAGCACCTGCACTCACATTTTTGAAGATGAAGTTGCGGGGTTTGCAAAAGAAACAAGGATGTAAATTAATTAATTGAAGAAATAATTCCCCACTTACATAAGTAGTCACACCATTTAATATAATTGTCAAGGGACTATATGTTAATGAACAAAAGGTTAATATTATCGCAAAACAGAATATATTTAACAAGTATAGCCGTACGTCTCTACTATTTAAATATTCTTTTTTTTCTTCTCTTGATCACACAAATTCGTCTTCCTCATTCACTTCTTCTTCTTTGCTCCCTCTGAAATTTCAGAAAGGAGGAGGAGTTCTCTACCACGCACTCGGGCTCGCTCTCTCTATGGCTCTCTATTTGACTCGTTCTCTCCCAGCCTCCCTTCCTCATTTCTCTATTCATCACTTAACCTACCCCTTACAAGAAAAATTAGTTAAAAGTGATAAAAACCTTTAATAATAAGCATATGGTAAAAAGATTTTGAAAAATACGAATATGCATGTACATGTACATAATTTTCACGTATAATATTTAGGACAAAATACAGTAAACCCCCCAACCTATAGGGTCATTTACGAGTTCATACCCGATTTTGAGGACATTTACGAGTACATACTCAACGTCGCGGAAAACTTACAATTTGCCTCCTCCGTTAGCTAAACTGTTAGTGAGTTTGTTAAATGCTAACGTGTCAAAAGTGGGACCCCTTTTTTTAATGACGTGGACTTCCACGTGGACCAAAAATTAATAATAAATTATTTTACTGTTTAAATTATTTTAAAAAATCTCTCTCTCTCTCAACACCCAAAAAAGTAATGGAAAATTATTTACTTATTAAAAAAAATTAAAAATTGAATAATTAACATAAAAACAAACCCAGAATCCACCCTCCGCCGTTGCAACCCTCCCTCAACACCCACCCATGGTAGTAACAACAGCAAAACTAAACAAGGCTAAGATGATGAGAATAATTAGATCTGGAAATCGAATGGATCTCAACAAGTGAATAACTGAAGAAAAAAACACTTAAGTTGTCCTCACAGTAGAGCAGCACATTTGCATTCCATGGCTTGTGAAATCAAACCTCCTTTCCTTGATCTCAAGAGTGAACGTTGCATACCCATAACACCATTAGCAATAAGAACAATTAAAGATGAAGACTTTTTGCAAACCCAAACAGGTTATTGACATGGGATTGCCAATGAAAAACAAACCAAACCTATCCCCAAACCAAAACCCAGCCATCACTAATCCTCTAAACATGTTATTATTTGATTTATTTGCAGAAATTGATATCGATATCGAGATGGTGGAAGACACCCCTCCTACCCAGCCACTCCACCATCACTGTCACGTTCACGCCACCATCTAGTTATGAAGTTCTTTGGCCGCCACT